ACAGGGAACACGAACCGAAGATCCAACCATTCCGCCCCAAGAGGCCCCCAGGAGGCCCCGAGAGGCGCCCAGGAGGCACCACGAGGCGCCCAAAAGGCCCCCAAGAGGTCCCAAGAGGCCCCCAGGACCCAAAGAGGCCCCCAAACGGCACCCAAGAGACGTCCAAACTGCCTCCTAGAGGCCCCCCAGAGGCCCCTTACGGCTTTTGCTGTTGGTTCTTTTCCGCAAGAACGCCCCAGAAGGCCGCAAGATCCGCCGACAAAGTTTGCCCAATCGCCTCGAAGACGGCCAAGGTGTCCCAAAATAGCTTTTAAGACTGCTAAGCTGGCCTCCAAACGGCCAAGATGGCCTCCGTGACGACTAAGATGGCCCCGAGATGCCTCCAAAACGGCCCAAGTGGACCCCAAGACGGCCCAAGAGATCTCCAAGACGCCCAAAATTGTCCCTGATAGGCCCAAAGTGCCTCGAAAGGGCCCCAAGTCGTTCAGAGAGGCTCCCAATACGGCTTCCGACGGTGCCAGACGGGCCAGGAACGCCCTGAGACGGCCAAAGAGGTCCCCAAGAAGCCGGCAAAGGCCCCCAAGAGGCCCAAGGAGGCCTCCTAGAGGCTCTCCAGAAGCTCCCAGGAAGCTCCAAGAGTGCCCCAAGTGGCTCCCAAGATCTTTCCTCTTCCGCCTCCTCCTCCTCTTCCTCCTCCTCCTCCTTCTCCTCCTCCCTCTCATGATCCTCCCTTTCATCCTACCCCAAGAGTTTCCAGAGCGGCTGGGGGAACAAATAGTCCGACAGCTTTGCCAAGCTTGGGCCCAACGTTTAGCCACAGAGGCGCTGTCCGAAACGCAAGGGGCGGCGGTGATTCGCCGTAGGCGTCTTCGATAGAGTTTCGCGCTAAATTGCACCACGCACCGCGCACTACGTAATCACGGTTAGATCAGTCGTATCCACCTCCTCATACCGTCGTCTGGATGATCCTCCTCCACCTCCTCCTCCTCCTCCTCCTCCTCCTCCTCCTCATCATCATCATCATCATCACCATCATCACCATCACCATCATCATCACCATTCTGGGCCAAGCTCGGCGCAGCCCAAAGTGGAGGGCGCCCCGCCGCTCGTCAAGGCCAAGCTCGAGAAGCCGCCCGCCCACCGGCGCGACCAACCCGAGGGCGAGGAGATGGGCGGCGAGGAGGGCGAGGGGCGCGAGTGCAAGGAGACCAAGCAACAACGACGAGGAGGACGACGGGCACGTAGAGGAGGGCATCCAGCCAGGACGTGGCGCAGCGAGGGCAAGAATGTGATGGCACTACTCCAGGCAGTACTAAAGCTGGTCCTACAGACGGCGCGCATGAATCGCATGGCCACGCCAGTATGCATCGACACCTACACTATGCCAGCCAGGCATCCCATGGTCTCGAAGATCAGCGCGGAGCTAGAGGGCTACAAAGCGACGCTCGACAAGCTGCGCTCCCGGGGGGCCGAGGGCAAGCAGTGCATGAAGGAGATCGGCTACCCCGCGGCGAGCATGGTCCTCGCGGCTCTGAAGGCCTGCTGCAGTGCGCCGTCGGGGGCGCAGCCAATCGCGAGCTGAAAGCATGCATCGAGAGGTTCCAGCCCGAGGACGAGCTCACAGATCCAGAAGTGGGCAGGGACGACCTCGAGCTGGAAATCAGTTTCATCAGGCTCGAGAGGTGCTACGACGCGCAGAAGATGAAGGGCATCGTGGGCGCGCCTTCCAAGGAAGGCCGCGGGCGCGTCCAACGGCCCTTGAGAACTAGGACATCGCAGTACATCACAAGAGAGTGGCAACAGCGGGCTGGCTCGCATTGACTGGAAACGATCTCGGACGGGCTCTAGACATGGAGCGACAGCCACATCATCAGCCTGTCCAGCGAGCAGTACAATCCGCGAGAGGAGGTATGATGCCAGGCTCGGTGCCAGCTCCCGCTACCCCAAGCTCGGACACGGGCGCGGATCTTCCAGCGCGAGTTAGTATTGCGCCCAGCCCGCAGCCCACCGACCTACATCGACTCGAGGCCGACGAAGCAGCCGCAGCAGAGTTGTTCTCGTGACTACGCCGTCGCCCTTTTTTCACAGATCCAAGCACGCAGGTGGCACCGCTTGCTGCCTTCGGGTGGAAATCCCGGCGCGCCTGCGTGAAAACCCTTGCGTGCTGAGCCGGCTTGGGCCAAGGCATGTAAAATTCTGGATGATACGCAAGCGTTCGCTCGCTTACAGTTTTGGATGCAACTGATGGCACGCAGCACCTGTGAAGTCGAGAACTCCTGACAAGACCGCGACAAGTGACGCCGTCGCCTGTCTGGCTCCCCGCTTCGCGAAGCACCCTGGCTGGCACACGCACCGAGCGCACCTAAGAAGACTCAGGCCTTGTGCGATGCTATAACTGCTTATATCCCGGGATGCTTGGCTCTGCCGTGAAAGAATTCCTCGTCATCAACAGCATCAGCATCATCATTACCACCAGAAGCATCGTCGTCATCATCATCGCCATCATCATCAACAACAGTACCAGCGTCGGCAGCATCCTCATCAGAATCATCGTCATCAGCATCATCACTATCATCATCACAATCATCACCACCACCATCAACACCACCACCATCATCAGCATCGTAATCATCATCACCATCATCTTGATCCTCATCATCAGCATCATCATCAGCAACACTACGAATAAGCATCATCACCCTCATCATCAGCATCATCAGCAACATCAGCATCACCATCATCATATCGCCAGCGTCATCATCATCAGCATCGTCGTCGCTATCATCAGCATCATCGTCTGCATCACCATTCTCATCATCACAATCAGCACCATGACCTCCATCATCATCACGATCCCCATGTTCGTCACCATCACCACCACCACCACCATCCAACAGCATCATCATCCCCAGCATCAGCATACTCATCATCAGTATCATCATCGTCGCCCTCACCATCAGCATCATCATCAGCATCAACATCCCCGTCATCCCCATCATCATCACGACAATCGTCATCATCATATGTTCACGACAGCGTTATCATCACCATCATCATGAACACCATCACCAGCAGCATTAGCATCAGCATCATGCGCAGCACCATCATCAGTAGCATCAGCAGCATCACCGTCACCATAGCACCATCACCATCATCGTCGGCATCAGCCTTGCCATCATCAGCATCACCATCACAATCATCATCATCAGCAGCGGCAGTGCTAGCAAAACCATCAACATCGTCGTCGTCATCATCGTAGTCGCCGTTGTCGCCGTCCAGTATAGTTTCGCCAACAAGTTGCTGGTGGGTGGGTGGGATGTTTGCACGAGCGCTGGAGGTGGTCACGTGTGGATGCGGTCAAGAGTAACTGCACCACGCATATTGCACCACAACGGTTGCATAGCGAGAGTACCAGAGCCCGCTGTTTGGGTCCATGCTGGCAAACACCCTGTGACACATGCTTTTCATATGTTGCACCAAAAGCCGCGCCAAACAACCCGCATCGCCATCAACCCGTGATTTGCAAGGCGAATATACCTTCCAGTGGCTACGCCACAGATTGCGCCAAAAATCCCACCGCGCCCGCACGTCGTAATTTCCTGAGTGGGTAGCCGATCCATAATCTCACCAGTCGTGTGGGTGAAGGTGGTTTAGCGATATCTTTCGTTTCTCTTCCAAAACCGCTTCCCTTCCACGAGGTGTACCCCCCTCCCTGGCTTTTTTTGGGGGAAGCCGCAGGTCGTTAGAGCGTCCAAGACGTCCTCGGCGAGAAAGCCACACTCTGCGATTTTACTAAGGTGTTGGGCCCCAAGAAACGAGTTTGATGGCCCCATGAGGGGGAGGCAAATCGGGATCCACCTCTTTTGGTCGATGGCCCCCAAGATGACCCGAAAAGACCCCCAGGGCTCTCAGGGGGAACCCGCAAGAGGGCGGCCCCAAGAGGGCCCCAAGACCCTCCAGAAAAACCCCAAGAGGGCCCGACAATCCCCCCAAAGAGTCACGGATGAATTCATCCGAAAAGTCGTTTGAGTGCAATGTGCTCACTGACTCGCTCATCAGGCGGGCAATGGCCGTGTACCAACGCAAATCATGCTTCGTTTTTGTCGCCCTCTCGACACTGAGCCACGACGGCCCAAGGGAGGCGCAAGAAGGGCCCCAACAGGCTCCCCAGACGGCCCCAAGAGCTCCCACGAGCGGCGGCCCGAGTGCGCGCCACGAGGGCCCCGAGAGGCGATTTTGATGGCCCCAGGGGGGGCCACAATGTAGACCCCACCCCACCCTATTGATCGATGGCCTCCAAGATGGCCCCGACAGGCTCCCCAGGGCTCCCTAGGGACCCCCAAGGGGGCTCCAAGAGGGCCCCAAGAGGGCCCCCAGACACTTCAAAAGAGTCCCAAGAAGACCCTAGTGCCCCCTAAAAAGAATCCCAATAGGGCTCCAAGAGGCGATTCTGAAGGCTCTGTCCTCGCCCTCGTCGTCCTCCTCATCCTCCTCCTCATCCTCCTCGTCCTCCTGATCCTCCTCCTCTTCCTCGGCCTCGTCCTTGCCCTCCTCGTCATCCTTTTTCTGTTCCTCCTCTTCCTCGTCGTCGTGGTCGTCGTCGTCGTCGTCTTCCTCCTCCTCCTCCTCCTCCTCCTTCACTGGCCCCCATGTGGGCCCCAATGATGGCCCGAAGAGGCCCTCCAAGGCCACCCCCTTGCTCCCGGCGATCTCTCTGTTCACCCTGGTTGCCCGCTCTGTTTCACTACATGTCTCGTCGTCCAGTTTCCCAGCCAACTCTCATGGGCACGGTTTCCGAATGCGCTGGTGGGGATGCGCCAAGCGTGAGTCGCTCATTGCAGGAAAAAACGCATTCTAAAATATGACAGCTAAAAACGGGCACATACACCTTGCACTTACCCCTGGCTTCGTGTGTGAAGACGCGCGTTCTATCATTACGCGTGCTTCTAAGACAACAGCCGACAGACAAGACAGTGCAGGACATATTTGTGTTGTACGAGGGCGTAACGTCTTGGTCAGCGTCTGAACTCACTGTTCCTGTGGCGCAAGCATGCTCTACACAATACTTGCGACACTAACATGCTCGAACACCTCGCACCACCATCTACATGCAAGAACAAGCCATCACCTGCCGCTCAGGTTTGGAAGCGAACTCGAACGACAAAGACGAACAATGCTTCAGGGTGGCATCCGCGGCCCTCCAGCTATGTATCATCTCGCTTGCCCGTGCCACGGTACACGAAGCAGAAGCCGGCGGCGACGCCCAGCCCCAGGGGGATCAAGAAGATGTCCACAGCGGTCAGCAGCTCCAAGCGGGACCGGAGGCGCGCCAGGGCCCGCAGCGACGCAGAGGCAGCCAGCGACTCCTGGAAGCGCCCGAGCCTCTGGCCCAGCGCGGCCTGCTGCCGCTCTGCGTCCGCGAGGGCGGCGCTCGCCTGGAGCACGCTGCCGCCGGCGGTCTGCAGGAGCGAGGCCGTGGCCGCGCGCGCCTCGCAGGCCTCGGCATCCGGGGCGTCCTTGAGGGGCCTGTTCTCCACCACCACCACCACAAGTTGGAGGGGGGAAGGAGGTGGAGGAGGAGGAGGAGGAGGAGGATGAAAAGGAGGAGGAGGAGGAGAAGGAGGAGGAGAGGAGGAGGAGGGACAGGAGGAGGAGGAGGAGGAGGAGGAAGGAGGAGGAGGAGGAGGAGGAGGAGGAGGAGGGAGGAGGAGGAGGAGGAGGAGAGGAGGAGAGGGAGAAGGAGGAGGAGGAGGAGGAGGAGAGGGAGGAGGAGGAGGAGGAGGAGGAGGAGGAGGAGGAGGAGGAGGAGGACCCCCTCCCCCTCCAACTTCTGGTGGTGGTGGTGGAGAAGAGGCCCAGCAGTCCTCCTGCGGCGAGCACGAGCCGCGCAGGCCCCACGCGGCCGCCACGAGGAGCGCCGCGCGGGCCCCCGTGGGGAGCCGCATCGCGGGCGCGGCGGCGAGGCGCACCGGCGCCACGGACCCGGACAGGTTGAGAATAGGGAATAATTACCCTGACCTTCCAGGAGGGCTAAAAAATAGCACCAGGACGTCGACGTTCTGATTATTGTCGAGGTTTGAGGCAGTCCAGAGAGGGTTATAGGTCTGGAGTCATATTTTTTGGCACTCTGGAAAGTCAGGGTAGAGGACCCCCCAGACCAAGACATTGCTGACCAGGATACTCCTGAGGTCGGGCATGTTCCCCGACAGGCGGATCCTGAACGAAAAATCAAAAATATTCAACAAATACTCTGGACTACTTCTTTGACTATTTTTGAATACAGGCCCGACTTAAGGATAGTGAATAAATGCCCCCCCAGAACAAGACATTGCTGACGAGGATACTCTGAAATCTCAACCTGGAGGAAACAGGAGAGAATGGACCTCGAGGAACAAGAGGAAACAAGTGAACAATGCTGAACAAGTGGAACCTCGAGGAAACAGGAACCAACGCTGAACAGGAGGAAACGAGTGCATCGACCCCCGGCAGCCGTCTCCTTGGGTGCGCCAGTGCCCTGGTTTGCCGAGCGGGGCGCAGAAGGACACACACACACACACCAGCCGTGCTGTGGCCTCCTCGGAGGCGCGCGTCCGAGCCGAACATGTAGAATAACCCTCTAATATAGTTGTTAGACGTCTTATACCGTCAGCATTGCGGTATATCGTTATGTCAACGTGTTAAATACGTGGTATATCTACGTGCTATAAATAACAATATGTAATACCGTAGAACAGTATGGTCCATATTGTGGTAGATCTCGTTTCCCCATCGGTGCGGTCAGCAGGCGCAGGCCACGAAGCATATGCGGCAGTTTCGCGTCTTGACGACCCCGGCGCTCGTTTCTGACGCCGCATGGACCGTTCAACCTGGACCGATCGGCCGTCCCCGCAACGTCCACTCGTTCAACATCGACCGATTCTGGGTCGCCGAAGGCGTTCAACGTTGAGCGCCGCCAGCGGGGTCGCCGCCGGTCGACACGATGCGAACCTGCCGTCCTGACGCCGAAGATGTCCCAGTCTGAGGGGGCCCCGAAATAGGCCGTAAGCTGCGGCGCCGCAGATTTTACAAGGGCGCCTTAAGCCAAGAAGGCTTGAGCCAAGAAGATTCAGAGGGTTGATGGGCAACGTAATTGGTCGTTCGTTCGCCTCCTTGCAAGGCGCAGTCGCCAGACTGTCTGGCGCGGTGGTAACGATCGGAGGTCACAGATGGCGACTCGCAGGACGAATTTCCCTGAGCAGTGAGATGCAAGGGTCCTTAAGCAAAGGTTCGAGGAGATGGGCAAATAGGGGACCAGCTCATGTTTTGGGGGTGCGGGGTGCCTGGCATGTGGTAACACTCACGGAGCAGGGGGGGCAGAAATAGATCAACTCGTGGTTCGGGAGGTGCGGGGGGTTGAGGCGCCGCCTATTGCGCAACCTGTAACACAACTTGTGGCGCAAATTTTGCCATGTCGTGTCCTGGCACGTGCCGTTTGTGGTGGCATTTCCGTCAAGCGCGCTCGACCGTGACCCCGCCAGCCAGCCGTCTGCCCGCCATCGCGCCGACTGTCCCCCCAGCTCACGCACTGCGGCACGACGTCCTATAATCCGAATGCTGGCTGGCCATGCACCAGCCAGAACCATCGCGCGCGCTCCGCGCGCACTCGAGTTCCAGCATCTGGAAACCTCATTCGTCGTGGCGACCTCGGGTAAACACCGCTGCCCGTGGGAGCTTCACGGAGCTGTTTTGAGCGCCTCCCAGGCTGCCTCGGGGCTCTATTCGGGCCGTTTGGGACTCGTCTTGGGGGTCTCTTGGGCCGTCCGAGGCTTGGAGCCGCCCGGGGATCGCTGCAACCTTTCTTGGACCGTTTGTGGACCCCCCCTGCCGCCTTGTTGAGCCTCGCCGGAGGACCTCTTGGGTCGGGTGGAGGCTCGCTTGGGCAATACTGGGCCCATCTTCGGCTGTCTCGGGCTCCTCCTGACGCCCTTCTGGGCGGCGCCAGGGCGATATCGGAAGCCTCTTGGCACGTCTTGGCCGCTCGGGTGACAGAAGATGTGAGCAGTTTAAAAATCGTGCGAAGCCTTTTCAATGTGCACTGCCTCTCAGGGAAAGTCATCGTCGGGGCTGCCATGAGCGATCTTGCAGTCGTGCGAGCTGTCTGTGGGCCCTGTTGGGGGCCTCTTGTCGCGTTTTCGCGATCTTTTCGGGCTTCCTGGCGCTCTCAGAGAAGCCCCCGCAGGCTTTCTTCAGAGGCTGTGGAAAGGGCCCGGGAGGTGTCCCCGAAGGAGCATTGGCACCGATCCGCCAGCTGTGCTACTGCTGCTGCCCAGACACTCAGTTTTCCCGGCGCTCCCGGGAATTTCTGGTAGCTCCTGGGGCTGGGGTGTGTCGTGCGCGTCATCTGGAAGCCAGGAAAAGGCCTTCTCGGGACGTCTGAGAAGCCTTCAAAGTTTAGAGCCGTTTGGGGAATGTGTGCCATGTCTTGTGCACGACTTGGGGATCTCGGGGTCCTCTGCACCGTCTCAAGGCCGTCAACGGCCTCTGTGATCCATCTGGGGAGCGCAAGAGACACCCCAAAGGGCCGAAAACGGGCCCGAACCCCGGGGAACAATTCAGTTGCCGAGTGGGTGGCCCCAGCAGTCATTGTCCCGGGGACGCCGGTGGGCCCAACACTCACATACTGATGCTTCGATTGAGCCTGCGGGGATCACGACATGGTGGTCTCGGGAGCCACTCGGCATCGCACCACTTGCCACGGCGCTTCCAGAGGCGTAGTCGAGTGAGCGGCCACGCATCAGCGGTGTAAGAGTAAAAAGGCAAGAGAGAGAGAGAGAGACGTGAGCGGACATCAGCACGGTGACCATGAGAAGGGTTGCAGGCCGCGCGCTTGATTTGAATCATTGTGCGTCGATTTTGAGGTGCGGATGGGGAAGCCAAAATGTACCGGTACTGCTACTCCCTGGACCTCTCCCGCGGGGTGCGCTCTGACCAGGAATTCGAGGCGAATCCAGCGGTGGCGACAAGGGCCTCCCGGGAGACCGAAAAAGGGGAAAATGGGCGAAGGGCAGCGGTATCGGTACCTTTCCCTCCTCTGAGATTGTGGATGCGAAGCCATGTCTCTTGGATTGGGTAGGGCCTGTCCCCCTGCAGGCGGATTTTGGACGAAAAAACAAAAATTATCCTGGCGAAAGACCCAACCATAAGCAATTGTTGGTAACGCGTTGTGGGTGCCGCTTTCGGTGGGGCTCCATATGGGGCCACGAAGCGCTGCCTTGGATGGGGGAACCGCATGCGGACTGCGCCACCGGGGCGGGCCTTCGGTGGAGCTCCCTATGGGGCTACGAAACGCTGCCCTGGGTGGGGGAACCGCATGCGAACTGCGCCACTGGGGCCTTCGGTGGAGCTCCCTATGGTGCCACGAAACGCTGCCCTGGGTGGGGGAAGCGCATGCGAACTGCGCCACGGGGGCTTTCGGTGGAGCTCCCCATGGGGCCACGAAGCGCTGCCCTGGGTGGGGGAACCGCATGCGAGAGCAGCCACTGGGGCCTCCGGTGGAGCTCCCTATGGGGCCACGAAACGCTGCCCTGGGTGGGGGAACCGCATGCGAGACAGCCACTGGGGCCTTCGGTGGAGCTCCCTATGGGGCTACGAAACGCTGCCCTGGGTGGGGGAACCGCATGCGAACACCCCCACTGGGGCCTTCGGTGGAGCTCCCTATGGGGCCACGAAACGCTGCCCTGGGTGGGGGAACCGCATGCGAACACCCCCACTGGGGCCTTCGGTGGAGCTCCCTATGGGGCCACGAAACGCTGCCCTGGGTGGGGGAACCGCATGCGAACACCCCCACTGGGGCCTTCGGTGGAGCTCCCTATGGGGCTACGAAACGCTGCCCTGGGTGGGGGAACCGCATGCGAACACCCCCACTGGGGCCTTCGGTGGAGCTCCCTATGGGGCCACGAAACGCTGCCCTGGGTGGGGGAACCGCATGCGAACACCCCCACTGGGGCCTTCGGTGGAGCTCCCTATGGGGCCACGAAACGCTGCCCTGGGTGGGGGAACCGCATGCGAACACCCCCACTGGGGCCTTCGGTGGAGCTCCCTATGGGGCTACGAAACGCTGCCCTGGGTGGGGGAACCGCATGCGAACACCCCCACTGGGGCCTTCGGTGGAGCTCCCTATGGGGCCACGAAACGCTGCCCTGGGTGGGGGAACCGCATGCGAACACCCCCACTGGGGCCTTCGGTGGAGCTCCCTATGGGGCTACGAAACGCTGCCCTGGGTGGGGGAACCGCATGCGAACACCCCCACTGGGGCCTTCGGTGGAGCTCCCTATGGGGCCACGAAACGCTGCCCTGGGTGGGGGAACCGCATGCGAACACCCCCACTGGGGCCTTCGGTGGAGCTCCCTATGGGGCCACGAAACGCTGCCCTGGGTGGGGGAACCGCATGCGAACACCCCCACTGGGGCCTTCGGTGGAGCTCCCTATGGGGCCACGAAACGCTGCCCTGGGTGGGGGAACCGCATGCGAACACCCCCACTGGGGCCTTCGGTGGAGCTCCCTATGGGGCCACGAAACGCTGCCCTGGGTGGGGGAACCGCATGCGAACACCCCCACTGGGGCCTTCGGTGGAGCTCCCTATGGGGCTACGAAACGCTGCCCTGGGTGGGGGAACCGCATGCGAACACCCCCACTGGGGCCTTCGGTGGAGCTCCCTATGGGGCCACGAAACGCTGCCCTGGGTGGGGGAACCGCATGCGAACACCCCCACTGGGGCCTTCGGTGGAGCTCCCTATGGGGCTACGAAACGCTGCCCTGGGTGGGGGAACCGCATGCGAACACCCCCACTGGGGCCTTCGGTGGAGCTCCCTATGGGGCCACGAAACGCTGCCCTGGGGGGGAACCGCATGCGAACACCCCCACCTTCGAGTGGGCTGCTGGGGGAACCGCTGCGAACACCCCACTGGGGCCTTCGGTGGAGCTCCCTATGGGGCTACGAAACGCTGCCCT